TTTGAAATTCACAAATTTTTAAGATCGAGTTTTGGAAAATGGAAATTTTGACAATCTAAATGCGAAACAAGTGCTCAAAAATTTTCAGATGAAATTATACCAGGGGAAGTAATAAGAGCGAGAATAAAGATTCGACAATATCTTATTTGAAAATTTGGCTTTAAAAATTTCTATAAGAAAGCCGAATGTCAAGAAAAGAATGCAAAAATGCTGTTTTATTATTTGACTTGTTTATAATTTCAACATGTATACATAATTGTAATTATTTTTAAGAATGCTTTAAAACGAAAATTTTTGAAAAAATCAAAATTAAAAGAAATAAACTTCTAAACAACTAACCATTTTCATTTAGCTAGAGTTCGTTTTTTTATGAATAAGTTTTGTGAAAAACAAAAAATTGAAATTTTTTAAATTCGAAATGTTTGAAAATCGCAAGTTTTAAAAATTTAAATATTTTAAAGTCGAACTTTAGCGTCAAGCCCTAGAGATATCCCAGTAAACATAAGGCTTGGTTAACAATTCGAAAATGATCGGAAAACAAATTGTTTTTTCGAGTCGCACCTTCGATAACGAATATGGAATATTTAGGTTAGTATTCGATTCGAGAACTAGGCCATTCTCCAGCAAAACGGAAACTTCGTGATCCAATGTATTTTCCCTTCGTTATGAACTCGAAATCTAGCCCATTATCGAATTGAAATTTTAATGAGAGAGAGAATAAGCTGGATTCACTTTCTCTCTTGTTAAGACTCTGGTAACCCTATTTCACCTCCTAGTATGTCAAGCGGTCACTAGAAGAAATCAAACACATTAGGGGGAGTTGCGACCAAAAGCTAAGCAGATTAACTTTATGGCGCGCTGAAATTATTGGCTTTCTTCAGAACTTCAGGTCTACACTATATCCTTTGATAAGTAATGGGGGTACAATAAACCCAAGGTGGCAGTGTGCATCCCCCATTATATCTACGTTTGGAAAATTCACTATATGCAATTTCATTTTCACTAAACACCAAAGTACGGCAAGTGTACCTAAAAGTATGCACCATTTACTTTTATAGTAGGTTCTCTTAGTATTGCATGTTCCATATTTTTAAGGGCACTTATTCTATTTTGAGGAATAAATTTTGTGAATTTAACGTTGGGTTTTAAGACCTTTTAATGACCCGATAATTGTTTCATTTACAGTGCTTTATCCTCACTTGTGAAATTTTCTTAAATCTCTAAAAAAAAAATGAGCCAGAAGAGCAGTGCACGCATTAAATCAAAACGCCGTAGCGGCGAGCCGTGGGTCTCCAACAATCGTGTGCTCAACAGCGCTTCGACCACGAAGAAGGGCACTAATCTCGGTCGCAATCCGAACTTCGATACAGATGAAACTAAGCTGCTCATACAGCTGTGGGGTGATCCAAAAGTGCAGCGCACGCTCATTATAGCACACAAAAAGCATGCTGTGCTCTGTGACTTGGCGTCTAAGATGCAACAATATGGCTACTTTCGTTCGCCGGAGGAGATCAGCACACGCATTAAAAATCTCAAATGTTTCTACAATCGCTTGAAGAAAGAGATCGACGCGGGCATTGCATCGCCAGCTGAGCCGACTTGGAAGCACTATGCCGAAATGGATGCGATTATGAAGCGACCGATATTTAGTGTGCGCCCCAATGAAGTGCCACCACCTTCGCTCAAATATCAATTGGAGAAAGCGCGTGAAGAACGCGAGGAGCGTAGACGCAAGATATTGGACGAAGGTAAGTGAAGCGAACTCTTTAATTTGTATGTAGCTTTTATAATTTATCTTTTCCTTACTCTTTGCAGGTGGCACAGTATCCGAAAGCGACGACGGACTCGACGAGCTGGTGGCATTGAGTAATGGTAACTCCTCCAAAAATGAGATTGATGATGGCATAATACCCGATGTCGAAGTGGACATCAACGATGAGGCTTTTGCGGCCATTGCAAGTGCCGCTGAGAAAACAGTGAAGGCGCTTTCGGCTACCAAGCGGCGTAAAGTATCGAAGGCCAGCGAAGGCAGCTTGGAGTTGGGTAGTGAATTCGAAGATGAGCGCGCGTCTGAAAGTCGCAGCAATGGTGGCAATGATATGGGCGATATGCTGATTAAAGAGGAAGACGACAGCATGGATAGTGATGAGTTTCCTTTGTGCAATGGCATTAAGCGAAAGTCGGCAGATAGCGAACGTGGTAAAATAGCACAAAAGCAACCGCCAGTTGAGGCGAACAAAACGGCAACATTGGGTGGAAGTACTGCTATCAAAGAAGAGCCCATCGATGTAGACGCCGAGGATGAGATCGAGTCCATCGACCCACTGAAATCACGAATGCCCACACTCATCGATCGCTTGACCGCCAGCTCGTCAAGTATTATCATACCCGTCTCGAGTCCCATGACCATTGTCTCCAGCGCAGCCAATGCGTCTAAAGCATCCACCACCACTACGACGTCAAGCGCGCCACAAGGAAAGATTTCTTTGGTGCCAACAAATTTTCTCATGCAACCTAAGCCGCCCACGCCGACCGCAATCGCGCCAGTAGTAACCCCAGCGCCAGCTCCAACGCCATTGATACCGTTGCATCAGTCGCAAATACAATTGCTGCCCAATGCTTTGAATACCGCTGGTAGTTTGCCACCAGGACGCATTTTGCTAAGCGGCGCCCCAGGTGTTACCGGCGCGCAGGGTACACCGACAAGCGCGGGCTTTGTGGCTACGGGTCCGGGCGGCATGAAACTGCTGCTGGTGAACGCTGACCAAGCCGCTGCGCAGATGGGCGCAACCAACGCGGCTTTAAGCAAGCAACTGCTGCCGCAGCTGAACGCGGCGATACTCCAACAGCAGCAGCAACAACAACAGAAGCAACAACAACAGCAGGCGCAGCAACAACAGCAGCTGCAACAGCAACAGCAGGAGCAACAAGCGCAGCAAGAGCAACTGCAGAAGGAACAACAGCAGCTGCAGCAGCAACAACAACAGTTAAAGGAAGCAGAAGAAGCCAATGCACAGGCGGCCATCAAGCGGCAGCAGAAACAACAAAAAGATAAACAGCGACGTGATGAACTACTATCACGCAAGGAAGCCGCCAGCATGCGCATACTGCTGCGTCACATTTATAATGCGCAAACGGAAAGCAATGAAATACAGCAGCAACGGCTGGCGCTCGAACGCGATCGCTTCGAATTCGAACGCACCGCCGTAGACCGCTTCTTTGCCGAGTTGCCAAAGTTATTCACGCAACAGCAGCAGCAGCAACAACAGCAGGCGCAAGTGCTGCAACAGCAACAACAGCAAGTTGCCGCGGCTATGCAGGCGCATACGCAACAAATGCGATTGAATCCGCCGAAGCTAGTCTTCACCACTGCAGCGGTGCCGGGTGGCGCCGCCAGTCTAGCCGGCGTAGCAGGTGGCACGACTATCTTAACGCCAACTAAGCTGACGACGAATGCGATGCCCAAGTTGGCGCCGGCGCCTACGGCCGTCATTGCACAATCGCAAGTGCAAGCGTCTGCGGCCCTGTCGGTAGTGGCAAGCGAGGGGGCAGGGAGCGCGCAAGCAATGGACGTGCAGTTGGTAGCGCCAAAGGAGGAGGACGAGGACTGAGGAGGGGCAAGTGATGTGATTGGGTTTAGAGGCGATAAAGCGGGTGGCTAGCGGTGTCTGCAATAATTGGGAGAAATAAAGTTGGGATAATATTTTTGCGTGAAATTAGAAAGCACAGCAACAAAAAATAATGTGGGCAATGTATAGGGAATAGATTAAAATTAACGAAAATAAAATAAGTAAAAATGATTCTCAGTAGTCTCATGGCAAAAGCATCCATGCAATGATATTAAAAAGAAAGCCTATCAATTTAATTAGGGATTCGCGCATAAAAAGTATTAAATTAGAAATACGGAAGCACAAAAAACTTGTTTTTGAGGGAAATTAACTTCTTGAAAATAGAAATAAATTAAATTTAACTAAAATTAGATATTTAGTAGATTCAGCGTTAATACATATATGTATGTACATGTAAAATGATATTAACCAAATTAGGCACCACTAAGTGGAAAAAAAGAAGTCGCGAAGTTTTTTCTTTTACGTAGTTACATTCCTTTAGAGCTTCAAACCTAGAAAATACACAGTAAAATATTTAAACGAATGTACTCAAATAAAAAATGCTCAGTGGTTCTTTAAAATTATTTATATGTATGTATAGTATATTTGCCCACAATTTTTTTTTACAATTGTAATTTCAATACATTTTAATTGCTTTTTGGTTTAAAAGTGATGGGTGTTTGCTGTTGTTACTTTCTCATTAGGAAGACACAACAATGCTACTCACTACGGGCTATTGATGACAAAATCGTATTGGTATTTTATAAAAATTGTTAAAAAGTACATATGCACGCATGTATGTATATGTATGGGATAAATAATTAAAACTAATGTACGTCTTTGCAAACTCTTATTTTTTTTTTAATATGTGCGTAAAATCGTATGTATAATAATTTATCATTCTTAAGAGCTCAAATTATGTTAACAGAAAACAACCGCAAATATTTTCGATAACAATTAATGAGTTATAAATATACGTATTTTATAATAAAATGTACACGTCTTTTGCTGCGTAACAATTTGAATATTTGTGCAATTCGTCTACAACTCATTAAAAAACTAAAACTTACAAGATATTTTAAGCATACAATTTTTATATAATATATAGTTCATAAACTATTTTTAATACCGTTCTTTTTATTGCTATGTGGTGTTTTCAGTTAAATTGCCTAAATCAATTAGTTTTATAAATTTTTTTCTTTATCAACATACAAAACGCAGTAATAAAGAAACATACATACATATACTATGTACATACATACATAAGTATAGCATCTATATACTCATACGTAATACAAATGAAATTGCAATTAGAAGACTTTCAAAGCTAAACAAATGCACGAAACAGTATTTTAACGATTTTAGTTCTAAAATTTTAACAAAATAAAATAAATAAACAATATACCGCTATATTAGCAAATGTGTTTCATAAATTTTCACTAATTTTCACTGTACTACTATGCACCGCTAGACTACAAATGCACTTGTCCAAGTACAAGTACATTATATGCAATGTACGCATGTACATACATATCGTTACCTTAATTAACAAAGGCTCCAACCAAAAAAATTTTTAATTTTACAGGAGAAGAAATAAACCTTATAAAAGGAGTATAAAAAACAGATAGGGCTTTTTAAAAAGTGGCATGTAATTCCGTTGTTTTTGGTACTAAGACTTCAAAATTTTGATTAAAGGTATATTTTAATGCATTCTAGTAGGATGACCCTACCAAAATCTGTGAAAACGCAGTTTTGAAAAGTGTTGGTTAGAACCTTTGTGAATTAAGGTAACGTTATATAGGTATGTGTATTCAAATATCGCTAGCAGAAAATTTGTGTGCATTTAGATGCGCCATGAGGCCCTTTGCTGCAATACCCATAACGCGCGTTACAAAATTTCTCTTTCTACTACATAATAGGTTTTCTTAAATTGCCTATGATTTCCCTAATACTCAGTTATTTTAAGTTAATTTATCTGGTGTTGTAATAGGTATTGATTTCACGTTCCATATCACGTATTTCCATAATATCAGTTTTGAGTCGTTGTTTTAGTATTTCACGGAAAATGGCCTCCCGATCGCCGTTGTGACTGATGCCCATACGTTGTAGGGAATAATCGTTGATGCGGAGCAGCGCACGGCCCGTGATTTCATGCTAAAAACGAAAAACAAAGATAGTTTTCGTTAATACTACGTAAATAAGTTAAAATAAATTAAAGCCTTTATCATTGTGCGAGATCAAAGCAGGACCTTCTGTCGATTTATGAAACGATTACGAGAAATTCCGCAATATAATTGAGACAATAACACTGTAGAGTTAATAGCGGCGTGAAAAAGAGAACTTTTTGAATTCGGAAAATTAAAATTATGCTTTATAAAATTCAAAGTCAAAATTTGTGAGTAAAGCTACAGCTAATCCAAGATCAATGACTTCCAAAGTTGTCATCGTTTATCCACAGACATAAGAATACAAGTAGGTTAGGTTAGGTTTAGGTGGGTACCCCTATAGAGGCTCACTTAGACCGTGGAAGTTGGTCCTTTGTGATACTACTGCGTACGGTAACTGCTACGTTAGAGCGAGAATAGCTGAGTGCCGAGAACAAAGTTTCGCATGTGGCCAATCTTAATTCCGAAAAGCTCATCCGGACTTGTCAGAGAGTATGAATCCAAGTGTCTAAGGCGCAATCTTGCAAAAGCCGGGAAGTCTTGGAGGAAACGCTGAGATGACCCCACCTCATCGTCCTCCATGCAGCTGCGACAGAGGGCGTCCGGTAAGATATTTAATCTCACTGCATGAACCCCGACAGGACAATGCCCTGTCAGTAAACCTACCAGAATCGCGAGATCTGGCTTCGCGTGCCTAAGGAGATCCCAGCGTTCGCTGAGTTGACCCGAGGCTCATCTTCACAAGAGAAGTCCACAAGTAGTCAAGGGAACTCCCACTATCTCTATACTTGGCGATAATTCCTCAAAGGTGGCGCCTCTGGCCAGTTCAGCCGCCGCGCAGTTTTCTGTGATATCACTATGGCCTGGCACCCAGATAAGTCTGACAAAGTAGTATTCCGACGAAATCGAATCCCGTGGCTGTTAGGGCTGCTAGATAGCAGGTCCGACTCATTGATACTCCACTTTTAATACTCACCTTCGAGAAAAGTTCCAGATATTGTGGATATTCGCCGCAATGCCGCATATACCATTTCCGCACATCAGTAACCGACCACAGGCACACCGACTTCGGACGTGCAGTCTTCATGCGCGGCCGGCTACTTTGCGTTGTTTCCTCCACCATTTGGCTGATGACTTTCTCACTACAGAAGTCTTTACGACAATTGTTATGCAGCTGCTCAATATTTTAATGGTCCTTCCTGTTTTTTATTTCTGTTTTGTCATTGCAGATCGTCTTTTTACTTCCTTGAACTTTGTTTCCACATAGCGAACAGTGTTGGCAAACAACAATGACAAATTCGATACTTACGATAGTTTTAGGTTTTTCTGAATATCGACGATTTTTCAGAACTATCGAGTATTTTCATTCTCGAACATCTTCCATAACTGGACGTCTTCACCTGCTTGAAAACCTCGACTACATTCAACAAAGAACGTAATTCTATCGAAAGAGGCAACACGTTATAATTGCAGCGAGTGTGTTGCCCAAATACGTTTTCTGATAGGATGAGAAGAGAAGGCAGGCTCCTGATATTCACACTCGCTCCAATTACAACGTGTTGTCTCCTCTTATAGATTTACGTACTTCGCGTTCTACTTGTTTTTCTCGCAAGCGAGAGAGTTTTTTTTTGCTGGGCAATAGACGGTATACTTTTTCATTTGCAAAATGTCACCAAACCAAAATGTTTGAGCCTTATAGGCTCTAAAAAATTTGGAAAAATTAGAAAATATAAAGGAGAGAAAAAAGACGTATGTACATAACGGGCTTGGGTCTAAATTTGTATTTGACATCAAAAGAAACGATGTTGCTACTCTGAACAATTCGGAGAAATAAGAAAATAACTGTCAAATAAAAAAATGACAGTTGAATACAAGCTCGGTATGCGGCAAAAAGTATGCTTATTATTTTTTGCGATGTACACGTGCGGGATTTCGCATACATGGTCACGCAAACGAGATTTTCAAGTAGGTGAAGGCGGCCGATAATTAAAAAAATATATCTAACAATTTTTCAGTACCAAAGAACGTAAATATACTTTTACCCTTTTTTAAATAGTGTTAATTTACCACAGATTTATGTTCGTTGATAAATTTACATTCGTTCTTTAATTACATCCTCATCATTTTTGGAAATAAAGTTTCAAAAATCCTTCAAATTTGTAATGGTAACACTTTATGCAGCAGTTGGCTGCGTTGCTTGCATGACTGGCGGTTCGTGAACTGTCATCTGTCATCGTTCTGTCCCCAAAGCGAAAAGCAAAAAAGTGATTTTCATTTTCCAAAGTAGAAATTTAGAAAAATCATCGCGAATTTTCCACCACAAAGAAGTCACATCGAAAACATATAGAAGAGCAACTAAATTGAAGGAAATTTTTTGAAAATTTGTTTGCAGTAACAGGAAAATGGCCGGAGCAACCTTATTTGCACGCGCTCAAGCCCTCACCAGCGTCAATCGTGAGGAGGGCATTACGCTGCTGAATAAAATTGTGCGTGAACAAGAAGTAGCTGAGAATGACGAGGAGTTGATTCGTTTGAAGGAGCAGGGTATTCTGCAGTTGGGAGAGTTGTACAAGCAAGAAGGTAAAGCCAAGGAATTGGCTGATCTGATTAAGGTGACACGTCCCTTCCTCAGTTTGATAAGCAAAGCGAAGGCAGCTAAAATGGTGCGTACGCTAGTCGATATGTTTCTAGACATGGATGCTGGCACGGGAATAGAGGTAAGTAAACAAACGGCTATAATTAAATAAACTTTTTGTTTAAAAGCTTATAAATGTTCAATAACTAATACTACAGGTGCAATTATGTAAAGACTGCATTGAGTGGGCTAAACAAGAAAAGCGCACATTTTTACGCCAATCGTTGGAGGCCCGACTTATTGCATTATTCTTCGATACAGGCTTGTATACAGACGCCTTGGCACTTGGTTCTCAATTGTTGCGTGAATTGAAAAAATTGGATGATAAGAATCTCCTCGTTGAGGTACAACTATTGGAGAGCAAAACCTATCATGCACTTAGTAATCTACCGAAAGCACGCGCCGCACTCACCTCTGCACGCACAACCGCCAATGCGATATACTGTCCGCCCAAGGTGCAAGGTGCTCTCGATTTGCAATCGGGTATATTGCATGCAGCCGATGAACGCGATTTTAAAACGGCTTTCTCCTACTTTTACGAAGCATTCGAGAGTTACGACAGCGTTGATAATGCAAAGGCTTTAACTGGTTTAAAGTATATGTTGTTGTGCAAAATTATGTTGGGGCAATCTGAGGATGTCAATCAGATTGTGAGCGGCAAATTGGTAAGCTAAATACCATTTGATTTTTAGAAATTACGGCTAATTTTATTTAAAAAATGGACAGGCTATCACTTATTCGGGTCGCGATATTGATGCCATGAAAGCTGTGGCGGAAGCTTCACACAAACGTTCTCTTGCCGATTTCCAAGATGCATTGAAGGATTACAAAAAAGAATTGACAGAGGATGTTATTGTCCAAGCGCATTTGGGTACGCTTTACGACACAATGTTGGAACAGAATCTGTGCCGCATCATTGAACCATATTCAAGGGTGCAGGTAAGCAAATAAATACGTATTATTTTGATACATTACAAATTGGGTATTAGCAAATAAACATTTTTGTGCGAGATTAACAACCCGCAATTAATTTTTTTTAACTAACCCGTGTGCGCATTTTCTTCAGGTTTCTCATGTTGCTGAATGCATTAAATTGCCCATGCCACAAGTGGAGAAAAAGCTTTCACAAATGATACTCGACAAAAAATTCAGCGGTATATTGGATCAGGGCGAAGGTGTGCTTGTAGTTTTTGAAGAAACACCCGTTGATAAAACCTATGAACGTGTTTTGGAGACAATTCATAGTATGGGCAAAGTCGTGGACACACTATATCAGAAGGCTAAGAAGTTGTCATAGATAAACGGAGGATTTCTATAATTAATACATAAACAATTATAAAAAATTAATTTTTTTTTTATAAATCTAAAAGCATAATTCTGCTAATTTGTATTCAAATATTGGCAAAAGCAGCTGTCAAGTTCAGTGGCTTAGTACACAACACACAGAACACTATACAAATATCCGACTAAAGCCCGTTGTTTGAACCAAATTGGTAGCAGTAAATTCTTGAAAAAAAAAATCAAAAAACCAACAAAACTACAATACACAATTTATATAAATTTTTGCTAATTATTTTGTATGCTTAGTGAGCTGAACAAAAACAATATAACATTTACTTAACAATAAAAACTGATTTGCTGCAGATAATTGGCGTAATCATACATTTATAATATAATAAAAATAATTAAAGCTTAGTAACTAACACGAGAATAGTTGAGATTTCGAACGGTAAATTTGTATAAGAAGCGCAATTTTTCCAGGATTAAGTCGCAACCGTTAAAATCATTTGCTTTACACACACAAGAAACACAAATGTGAAGTAAATGGACAAAATACAACACCAAAATCTTGTCTGCAACATCGGGAACTTTTTGTTTGTAATTTTTAGCCATCTTTATTTACTTTTGTTTAATTGTAAAACAAACATAAAATTTGCCGTTATGTAAACAGTAAAATAACTTGCTTTAAGGTAATGATTGCAAAAATTTACGATTAAATAAAAATTTCATATGTTTACTTTCCTTCTCATAGAAAAGCAAAACGCGGTAAACATGATTCAAGTTTCTTAATTATAGTTCTAGGGTAAGTAAGATTGGTTTGGATGTTAAATTCAAGAATTATTACCTCCTTTTTCGGGTATGAATTGAAAAAAAAATACGCCTTTATGCATATTTTGCGAGTAAATTTAGGGCATTCTCACATTAGACGGACCTACTACAAAAATTTGAATCACTATAACGAAAAAAAATATTACAAAGACCATTTCTATATTGAGGTAACGATATGTACATGTATGTATCTAGTCAAGTAATACCACTGCAGATGATTTCCCAAAAGGTCTTTGAGGAATTTTAGGCTGTCACAACAGAGGAGTGGTATTGCTCGAGAATGCATACATACATAATATGTATATTGATAGTTTCCGTAAAAAAGCGTAATTGGGAATTTCGCTCAATTCAAAAAAAAAAAAAAAAAAAAAAAAAAAAAAAATAAAAGCGTCAATACGCATCGCAAAAAAATGATAACAAATAATTCTTAATTTTTCATACCTTCTTTGCTAAACAATTGAAATGTAAATCCCCAACGAGAGAGCAAACTCGGCTCACTTGGGGATTCCCTTAGCGCCAGCTGCATGCATATAATCACAAGCCATGATAAGCGAGTTGCAACAGCAGGCTGTGTGTGCATATAAAAACCAACCAAACCACACAGTAAGATCATATTTTAAAGAACACTTAAACAGCAAACAAGTGATAGAACATCATTGCCAACGAATTCAAAATGAATTACTTAGCCGCTATTGCACTCACTTTGGCGCTCTTCGGCGCCCTCATCGAAGCATATCCCCAATCGCTAGGCGGTTCGCTAAGCAGCAATCCTCGTGGCGGCGCCGATGCAAGATTAGAATTGGCGAAGGGCATTGGCACACCGGAACACAATGTGATTGGCAAGGTATTTGCTGCGGGCAATACGAATGGTGGACCAGTGGCCACCGGTGGCACTTTGGCATATAATAAGTAAGTTAATACTACAAACATGCCTATTTTTTGTATACCAAATTTATATTACAAATATGCTTCTCAACAGTCATGGATTGGGCGCCGCTATTTCGAAAACGCACATACCCGGTGTACGTGATACTTTCACACAGAGCGTCAATGCTAATCTCTTCAATAATGGCCGACACAGCGTGGATGCGAATGCTTTCAAATCACAGAATACCCTTGCCAATGGTTTCAAGTTCGATCGCAATGGTGCCGGTTTGGAGTACTCACACATCAATGGACATGGCGCCAGTCTGACGCATAGCACTATTCCCAACTTTGGTAGACAATTGGAATTGGGTGGCAGAGCGAATTTGTGGTCGTCGCCCGATCGTAATACGCGCTTAGATTTAACTGGCAGCGGCTCGAAGTGGCTGAGTGGACCGTTGAGTGGACAAAAGGATTTTAGTGCTGGCGTTGGACTGACGCATTTGTTCGGTTGAGAAGAATGCTGAGGGATAGATGGTGTGGAGGGAAGCGGTAGAAAAAAATTAAATTAATGAAGTTATTTAAATAGTTAATTTATTGAGAAAAGAAGGATGTATTGCTGAAAAATGTGCAAAAAATTATACGAGTATATTTATTAAAAACGTTTTAATAAAATTTTGGAAAAAAGTGAATAGACAAACCTTTTGCTGATTTTTTTTTACCATTAAACAACAATTACTTATCGGGTATATAAACTTCAGTCCATAATTTCATTTAAAAATGATAGCCACACCTTTTTCTAAAAAAACAACTGCCGAATAGAGAAGGCTGACCTCTTAGTTTAATCTGAGGGGTTAAATTTAAAATATTACAAAGATCTCTGGGTTAATTACAAAATCAAGGTTTACGAAATTTTAAGCACGATACTCAAGAATTAATTTGAAGTTTATATATATTTAATTTATATGCCCAGTAAGCTTTCGACCTGGCCTGTACCAACGCGTGGTGCTGGCTTGTATATTCCCCTCCATAGCGAAAAACTTTATTTTAAATTTCTTGTGAAAAATAACACTGGATCACAAATTTTAATTTTGGTTTTGTTCCCCAGACGACACTATTCGATTTGTATGTAGAATCTTTCGCCGCGATACGTTTTCGAGATATTTGCAATTTACCGTTATTCAGCTTAAAAAAGAAAGAACGGTTCCACTTGCAAATATCTCGAAAAGTTATCCATAGAAAAAAAAAATATCTCGATTTTTGGAATCACCGAGCAATTATACATAGGAATTGTATTTTTGCTGTAAACTAGTGTAATTACTCTATTCGAATCATCTCTGGGAAAGATGGCTGGTGGGCCCGATAGCGCCTTGCCTCTACCATAACCATCTCTTGCAAAATTTAGGATGGTGCATCTGTCAGCCTATTCTATAGTAATCTGCAGCGGCTCAAGCTCAATAACTCCTCTAATGGTGCCCTAAGGCATGCGCTCATTGCCCCTGTAATACATACACAAGCCAGACGTTACAGTTTAGTGAGAGACTGCTTCACCGTGACCAAGGCAGTTCTCGAAGCCAAATCCATGACCCATAGGTCACTATTGGTTGTACGGTCATGATGTATGTACATCCATCTGCCCTTGAAAGCGGATCCATTGTCCGATTGGATTTGTAGCAGTTCCACAGAAGGGGTGATAGTACCTTATCCCTAATTCGCCGCCTAACGCTAGGAAAATTACATGACTTTCGTTAAATCACGTCCCGAGACGCACCACAGCATATGGTCAAGAAATACGGATTTTTGGAAAGATCCCGTTGCCCAAGTTTTCTGTCGCGGCTTGGCCCCAATCTCTTGTATGCCTTCAAGGGACCAACCACAGGTCGTACAATATATTTCATGGTATATACTGAAACCAAGTTGCCGTGGGTTGTTTTGAACGCTACACAAGGCCGCCAATAAAAAATCCGGGTCCGGTACAAAATATGATTTTGGGCCAACCCCTCCAAAACAAAGTTTGTTATCAAGTTTATCAACTCAGCAAAACTTTGTGTGTTCCAACTTAATTTTCGGCGAAATCCGGGCCCCGAAAAGTCTGGGTCTGGGTGAGGGGGAACCCCCGACCACCTTCTGTGGTTGTTGTTTTAGCGGTTACAAATACCCCGCCCAGATCGGCTGGTAGCTCAATCGCTGTCGTCAAGCCCAACTAACGGGAGACCCAAGAAGCGTGCAGGTTCTATAGGGATCGTCCATAGGGACAGAGGCGTTAGTTGAGTGGGGTTTAGTGGGCATAAGAAGAGCCACCCTGTGAATGACGTTCAACGCCTGTCGATATGCTGACAGGTCCAGAGGTTGCTTTATGAACCTCTGTCCGGAGTGCCGTGGTTTGGCTTGTCTGTAGCTTTGTCCACTACGTCCCACTAGTCCCCGATGACCACACGGGCGCTGCGTAGTTTAGAACCGGCCAGCCAATTGCCTTGCATGTTGCCAGCAACGTTTCTTTGTCTCTGCCCCAGGTTCTGCGGGCTGGCGACTTGAGGACCTTGTTGCGGCTCTGTACTTTATTGACATTTGCGATTGTGTGCGCCGAGAAGACTATCGAAGGTCGTCTGACATTCTTCGCCCTGGTGGTAAAAAGGATTGCCGAGGATTTTGTAGGGGAGAGGGTTAGGCTCCTTGGAGTGAAGAAGCGAGAAAGTGCTTATACTACCACTCCGTAGGACTTAGATTCGGTCCCTGGCATGAGCAAAATCCCAAAAAGTTTTTATCTAAAAACCGAGGACAAAACGTGCCTTGAAATTCAACTGACTAACAAACAGTAAAGTCCTCTTTCGGGGAACAAAAATAACGGCTTATAAGTCTCACATCATATTCCCGTCTAACGCATGTCGCAGAAGCGTGAACGATGCTATCATCCGATGAAGAGCTACTTGGAATGTTCGAGAAATATTCTGTGAAATATTTATGTCTTAGTGAATTTTCCCGAGTTCATTGGAAGACTCGTTGTGAGTGGTCACAATTGAGCATAATATTAGCAGAGTTGCACACTGTAATACTGGCTCCTGAGTCGATAACTCCGATAGTCTTTCGAACTTTCAATCTTTCTTCAAGACTGTTATTTGCATTGGTTTCCAGTCTTCTCACTCAACATTCGTGAGTGCTGACTGACTGGTACACTCTCAGAGGAAACGATAACCGATATTCGCATAAAAACTAAAGGCTGAAAGAATCAAGAATCCTTATATAGTTTCGATATTTTATTTTTTATTCAATAAATATTTTTTCGTATACAATTTTATACTACAAACTAAAGGTACCCTAAATTAACTTCTCCACACTATCCCATACCAAACATGTGTGTAAGACCCACACCACCAAAGTAGTCACGCTGTCCACTCAGTGGGCCACTGGTCCATTTCGAAGCGCCACCCGTTAAATCGACGCGTGTATTACGATCCGGTGATGACCAGAGATTTGCTTTACCACCCAATTCCAATTGGCTGCCGAAGTTGGGAATGTTGCTCTTAGTCAAACTGGCGCCATGTCCATTGATGTGCGAGTACTCCAAACCAGCACCATTGCGATCGAACTTGAAACCATTGGCCAGGGTATTCTGCGATTTGAAAGCATTTGCATCCAAGCTGTGTTGACCGTTATTGAAGAGATTGGCATTGACGCTCTGTGTGAGAGTGTCACGCACGCCAGGAGTGTGAGTCTTCGATATTGCGGCGCCCAAACCATTGCTGTAATGAGAAAGACAAAATTCCACTTTATTGTGATGAAAATGTTTGTCACTATTTCATACTCACTTATTATAAGCCACTGTACCGCCAGTAGTCACTGGACCACGATCAGTGTTTCCTGCAGCAAAGGCGCTAGCAATTAGGTTATGATTTGGGTTGCCTATAGCATTTGCCACATCTAGGCGGGCATCAGCGCCACCGCGCGGATTGCTGGCCAGCGAGCCGCCAACACCCACTTCACGTGCCACGCGCACTAAGATAGGACGTGGTTGGCGTGTGGGTGGTGGATAGTAGACCAAATGTTGAGCACGTGCACGCTGTGGATATGCCTCTACATAGGCGCTGAGTACAGCTACAGCGGCGATTGCGAAAATGAAAATTTTCATGTTTATATTTTTCTTTTTCTTTTTTACCAGGAGTAACTTTAAATAATTTGCAAAGTCCAAGTAAGATTCGATTGTCAAGCTGCTGGCTTAGTGGATGCTGTAAGTTGACTGATACCTTTGCTGAGCGGCGCTGCGAGTTTTTATAAGACGAGTTGAAATCAATTGGCTTATAATCAACTTGGTGGACCTTTGAATATGTTGTTGAGTATATCCCCTAAACGCGGAAGCTACATATAAATACATATGTAAGTATGTATATTCTCGTTCACATCAGTTAGAAAAGCGCATTTTTTCTCAAATTTGCCCAACATTCTTATCAGTTAGAATTTCGTGGGATTTTTTTTTTTTTTAGCACAGCAGGAATACGTTTGTGCAAACGTGTGTATTGATTGTAAATTATGAATAGGTACTACGTATGTATGTACTCTATTTTTGGACGTGCCTTTCATTATTGTTAGTAAAAGATCCCCTGAACTTTGTAATACTTAAGATATCAGTTTTTTTTTTGAATAACTAATCTTACTTACGTTGCAATTATTATGTGCCGGTAAGATTTAAGATTGAAGATGTGTTGCATTTTAAATAACTGAAACATCTTCGTCTGTCAAGAAAAACCAAAAAAAAAACATAAAAATGCCCAAGAAATGCAAAAGGAATTCACTTCCATCTAAATTTCTCGAATGAGTTTACAGCTCAGAAGAAAAAATGCTCCTTCCAAGGGCATATTAAACAGGTATTATTGGCAGAGCATCCCTTTTGATAATTTTTTCAAATTATTTGGTCTCTAAACTCTCAATTAAAAAATGTATTTGCTTGTGAATCTTCAAAAAAGCAATTGAAAAGCCTTTAAAACGTTTGCTCATCTCCGGAGCATCAACGCTAATTATTGGGTACTGCAAAGGATGTATTGATGCTTCTGGAATGAAATACATAAATTTACAAAGAAAAAAACGCATAAATTTTGAATTTTTTCTTTATAGTTTTTTCTTTAATTTTCAGTAAAGAAAGCCGACTATTATTTGCTTTTTATTTTTTAAGGCAAAGCTTGCAAGTTTTTTTTCGAGTCAAGACTTTAAAGCTAAAAAAAATCATATGGCACTTTTATTTTTTCGATAAAAAATAATCGTTATTTTAGGATTTTTATTTTTCTGATAATTTTTACCGTTATTTTATGATTTTTATTTTTTCGATCATACATATTAGGTTTGTTCCACACGAGCCCGCGGTATCCCGCTGGTGCCCAAAACAGCCCTGAAAGCGTTCCTCGCCCTATAAGAATGGGTAATAGAGAGCGAATATGTTCCACTTTTGGATCGTAGATGTCTTCTTCTTCGTGCCCGAAACAGCGAGGAAATTTTTTCCGGGCACAAATGCGCAAAAAGTCAAATTGCCATAACAGCTGTTGTAGAAATGGGAAATAAATGCCACAGAAGTTTCAGAAAATATAGCTTTTTGCTATTTTATTAGCCATATGAGATAAATATACATGAAATCATTTTTTAAAGCTGATTTGCTGATTCCGGGAACAAAATGTGGCTTTTTGCGTTCCTCACGCTCTGGACCATTTTTGACACGCTCTAATTACCGAAACAGCCCGGAAAGCGTGTGGAACAACCGTTATTTTCAGATTTAATTTTTTAGATGATAAAAGATTTAAATCGGTTATAAAAACTCAGTCTCTATTATAACGGTTAAAAATGATCGGATAAGTACAAAATAACTATGAAATGAAATGATGATGTTCGAAAAAAACTAAACTCACATAATAGCAATTTAAAACTATATATAGATATATTAAAAATCCCGAGAGAAAAATGCATCAAAGCCCCGAAAAGTCCCGACAAAAACAAAAAATCCGGAATATTCCAAAATATTAAGACACGAAGAATCGAGAAAATTCTCGAAGAAATCTTAAGCGGTACTGAAATATCCGAGAAAACTTGAAAAGTCTCGTATGAGTTAAAAAAAAATGAAGAATCCCGAATCCTTTTACGAAAAGACACTGAATTGTAACGAAAAAATCGAATAAAAAGGACCAAAAAAACCACGAACAGTAGGAAAAATACCGAACATTTCCGGAAAATTCTGAAGATCCCGGAAAACTCCCAAGAAACCCTCGAATAAGCACCAAAAATTTCTTTTTCAAGTCATAAGGAAATTATATGCTACAACGAGAGAGGATTCTAATGGTATCTACGAAAAATACAAAACTACCACTTTT